TACTTCGTACAAAATCCTTTGTTCGTAATGACAGCTTCAAGGTGCCTCCCATATGGAGAAATTAGTCGCATGCATTGCTCAAGTGTAATTTTGGCCCATTCTTCCACTCAGTCTTCAAATCTTGAAGGTTCTGTGGGCCTCTTCTATGAACTCTGATCTTTAGTTCTTTCCATATATTTTCTATTGGATTCAAGTCAGGTGATCGGCTGGGCCATTCTAGCAGATTTATTTTCTTTCTTTCTTTGAAACCAGTTGAAAGTTTCCTTGGCTTTGTGTCTGGGATCATTGTCTTGCTGAAATGTCCACCCTGTTTCTTCTTCCTCTTCCTGGTAAATAGCAGTAGATTTTTTATCAAGAATGACTTGGTACATTTTTCCATTCACTTTCCTTGAATGATATGACGTTTGCCAGTGTTCCCACCTCCAAACTTTACTGTGTTTTTGGGGTGAAGCGCAGTGTCATTGGACCTCCAAACATGGTGTATATTATGGCATCTAAAGAGTTCAATTTTGATCTCACCTGACCTGACTATATTCTCCCAGTATTTCACAGGCTTGTCTAAATGTTGTGCAGCAAACCTTAAAGGAGCTTCAACATGCTTTTTCTTCAGCAGCAGAGTCTTGCGTGGTGAGCGTGCATACTGGCCATGGCAGTTGAGTCCATTACTTATTATTTTCTTTGAAACAATTGTACCTGCTAATTCCAGGTCTTTCTGAATGTCTCCACAAGTTGTCCTTGACTCTTCTGATAATTATTTTCACTCCTCTATCAGATATCTTGTGAGGAGCACCTGGTTGTGGTCATTTGCAGTGTTGTCTATGCTTTTATATATTTGAGTAGCATTGTTTTTAATAAATATTTGATACCATTGATTTTACACTATATGGAGCATTGTCATTTTTCCATGTACATTCCCCTGAGTAGCTGCCGATATCCAGTATATGTTGGAGTGAAATGGCGACATCATATTTCCAGGATTTGAGGCAATCACTTTCAAGCATTATATGACTTCTCACTTTGAGGGTCATATCGTTCCAGTAAGGCTCTGACCTGGGCGCTGGTGTGGGAGCACAGAGTTTTTTTTAATATTATATGAAGATTATTTCATTTACAATTCACGATGGAGTTGCCTTTTGGATTGACACTCTGCTATAGACACATATTCTGGATTAATATGAGTTTTGTTTTTTATTTTATGAGCGCTGCACTCGAGTTTGAGTTTATTTGATCTTCCACCCCAGTGTCTTTCAAATGAATCATCCACCAAATATAACTTAAGACATCAAACATAAAATCCCACAAAGTATACAAAGTCCTAGAAAAATTTAAATAAATTTCAAAAGAATTTACAGATGTATCTTCCAGCTTCCATCACACACAAATCCAAACACCTTCAGTGTTAACCTCCACCCTGCCCCACCTGCGCTCCTGAGGACGCGCAGTTGCACGAAACGACGTTGAGCAACACTGTGAAATGTTAAGAGGTCGTGCCGCCATTCCCTATTGGTTTGGCATCCCCATATGTAAGTTTACAACTGCAGCTTTTTGTATTGATTTTATGGCGAATATTTTTCCTGTACTTTGGAGGAATTATTATTAAACTACTACACTATGAGAATTTTTTTTTTTTTATGGTGAAGTATCGGCACTGTCTTCTGATGAGTGGAAGCACCATCTAAGTAGAGAATATAACCAAGGGGAGATAAATTAAAGTGGTTTTAATCCCAAAAAATCAAAATCGAAATGACCAGTCTACCTCAAACAGCATAATAGGAGGAGTTATTTGTCCATAGTCTGGCCAAAAAAGGAGCAGCCAGTCATCTGAAATCCTCTCTGCTTTCCTACAGTGAAAAAAAAAACCCGACACATAAAAAAAAATTGTGTCGCCACACACCCCCTCTCCTGTGACTGACAGACTAATTAGGAGTCAGCTGCAGCCTGAGGAGACTGAGAAAAGTTATCCCCATAAACACTGGGCAGCATTTGAGGCACCGGAGACTGCAGACTTTCATAGGCTGGTGGGAGCTCAGCAACTGTCGGGAATTACTCAGCAGGACCCTGTTGACCCTATGTGCTTATCTCTACTTAGGGAGGAGGGGGAATACATGCTTTCACAGAGCCAAAGTAGACTAGGGACCGATGACTTCCGCTGCTATGCTGTGTGAGGTAGACTGGTCATTTAAATTTGGACTTTTTGGGTTTACAACCACTTCAAATAAGCGCTGTATGCTGTTCTATTAGTAGGGATGCAGCAAAATTTCGGTGGTGAAACGTTTCGGCCCGAAAACACCCCTTTCGGCCGTTGGCTGAAATGAAAAAAAGCACAGCTACAGGTGTCGAAAAAAAACCCCGCCCCTCGCCACCGCCGCCGCTGCCACCGGCCACCGCTCAGTAGTTCTCAGCCTTACCTGAGAAACCATCGATGCCAGCGCTGGGCATAAAGATGAGCGAAGGAAAGATGGCCGGCACTCATCTCTATGCCCTTGGAGGACCGGAGCGATGTCACTTCCCGTTTCAGCCATTTTTATTTTATTTTTTTTTTTATTTTAAAGCACTAGATCAATGCTTTTGTTTTGATCCAATGCTATACATGGCAGAGGAGAGATGTGGGGTCTTATTGACCCCATATCTCTCCATAAAGAGGACCTGTCACTATTTATTTCTATCACAAGGGATACATGCATTTCTTGTGATAAGAATAAAAGTGATTAAAACATGTTTTTAAAAGGGACAGTGCAAAAAGAGAAAAAAATGGAATAAACATTTAAATAAATAATTAAAAAAAGTTTAAAGTGCCCCCATCCCCCCGTGCTCGCACGTAGTGGTGAACGCATACGTAGGCCATGCCCACATACGGTGTTCAAAACACACGTTAGGTATCGCCATGAACGTCAGAGCAAGAGCAATAATTCTCGCACTAGACCTCCTCTGTAACTTTACAATGCTAACCTGTAGAAAGTTTTACAGCGTCACCCATGGAGATTTTTAAGTACAGCAGTTTCATGCTATTCCACGAGCGTGCACAATTTTAAAGTGTGACATGCTGGGTATCTATTTACTCGCCGTAACATCCTCTTTCATATTTTACAAAAAAATTGGGGTATATATTTTGTTTTTTTGTTTTTTTAATGTGTATTTTTTTTTTCCAAAAAATATATATTCATTTTTAAAAACTGCGCATTTTGGTTTCGGTTTTCGGCCAAGTGCATTTTGAATTTTCGTTTTCGGTAATTACTAGATAGCATATTCTTGAGATGAGTGCAAATTCTTACTATATGGTGGAGATTAACATTGAAGGTGTTTGGAATCGTGTGTGGTAAAAGCTAGAAGATACTGTTTCTTGGACTTTGTACACTTTGTGGGACTTTATGTTTGACCTCTTAAGTTATATTTGGTGGATGATTCATTTGAAAGACACTGAAGTATAGTTTTTTTGGTGCATTTTTATTATTGTTATATAGCGCTGCAATCACGTTTAGAACTACCGCTGACTTGATATAATTTTATTATTTATTTGATATTGCCATTTTGTACCGAATGGTGTGCTAGCTGCTGGTTTAGGGATTGTAACGTTTAGCACAATTTTTTATATTAAAGTGACCTATAACATGTTCCCTTATGGAGCTCCAGCTATAATGACTCTGCACCACTGCAGTTCTAAGTATTGATATCATCTCTCAAATTCACTTTCAGATCATTTATCACAGACATACACACTCTTCTAACCTTTTATGTCAATTCTGTCCTTCCGTGTACCCCTTGATATTAGCAGTCCAGTCATGTGAGCTATCAAATCAGGCTTTCGATATTCTCATCAAGTCAAATTGTTCCTTGAATAACATAAGTTCTACTTCTTCTATTTTGGTTTCCAAGCTTTTTGAATTCGTGAACATACCTTTTAGTTTTATATTAACATTTAAAACTCTATTATTATTCAATTTTGAGCTATTACTTGATTCTAATACTTTTTGCATTGTACTTAGATGATGCAATGTCTCCGCTCCCCCCACTATTCCATTCCCCCTCTGTTTCCCATTCTTCTGTAGACACATGCTCTCCACACAGCATAAACTATTTGATCCCTCTCCCCCAGATCCTAGTTTAAAAGCTCCTCCAGTCTTCTACCACAACAGAGCAACACTCTGCTCATTTAGATACAGTCCGTTCTGACAGTAGAGCCAGCAACCAACCGGAAAGTCAATTCAGTTCTCCAGGAACCCAAAACCCTCACCCTTATACTAGTTTCTCAGACACTTGTTCAATTTCCTAAGCTTCCACTGCCTCTCTGTTGTGGCTTGTGGCACAGAAAATATTTTTGAAAATAGTACCTTGGAGGATCTTTTCCTTAGCTTGATACATAAGTCTCTGAAATGTTTTAAGGATGCTCCATCTTCCTCTAATTTTGTCAAGTATAGCAATGTATATCATGACAGCTGGGTCTTTCCAAGCCCCACCCAACAATCTGTCAATCCCATCCAAAACATGTTGAACCTGATCACTTGACAGACAATAAAGACTTGAAAAAGCAATGTAAATTAGAGGTGTTCTAAAGTCAAGACATTTTTATCTTAATGCATTTCCTGCATTAAGATACAAAAATGTGCCATTAGTTGAATCTCCACCCCCCCCCCCCCAACTCCCTAAACATGTCCTTTCTCGATCCAGTGCTGTGCCTGCTGACTTGCTGTGGGGGTATTTGCAGAAGAGGAGAGAACTGGCAGGGGAACACAGAGAAGGAGGTAAGAGACTACTCTGTGCAATACCATTGCACAGCACAGGTAACTATAACTTTTTTATTTTAGAAAACAAATAGCCTTTATAACCACTTTAAATTATAGAAATACATTGGAAAATGCAGAAAAAAATGCAATGGACAGCTGCTGCACTCCAACACGAGCAAAGGAATTTTTTTTTCTCTAGTGAAAGCAATGCAGTATAATAAAATGTACACAGTATCACCATATAGCAAATATATATGAAACAGAAAAGCATATACAAACCAGCTTGGTGTCTCTGGAGATCTCTGACAGTCTAGTGTAACATTAAGATTCTGAAGAAGTTGGATTGAGGGGTTATTTGTGGATAAGGAAGTTGAGTCTTCTTCTTCTGAAGATCTACAATCTGTATTCAGTCTTTTGTTTTCAAAAATCTTTGCTGTAATAAATATAAATACCTTTAAGTTAACTACTTGACCTCCACAGGATTTACCCCCCCCCCCAAACTTCCTGACCAGGTCACTGTTTTGCGATACGGTGCTGTATTACTTTAACTGACAATTGCGCGGTCATGCAACGCTGCATCCAAATTAAATTTATGTTATTTTTTCCCACAAATAGAGCATTCTCTCAGTGGTATTTGAACACTTCTGCGTTTTTTATTTTTTGTGCTAGAAAAAAAAAAAAGACTGACAATTTTGAAAAAAAAAAACCAAAAAACATTTTTGACTTTTTGCTATAAACACATTCAGTAAAAAAATGTTTTAAAAATAAAATCAGATTTCGTCATAAATGTAGGCTAAAAATGTACTCTGCTACAAGTCTTTGCTAAAAAAAAATCCCAATACATGTAAATTAATTGGTTTATGTAAAAGTTATAATGTCTACAAATGGCGGTGTATATATACTGGAATTTTTTTTTATGCTAGTAATGGCGGTGATCAGCGACTTATAGAGGGACTGCGGCAGACATTGTGGGAACTGACTAACTGCCGCTGACATCCCAATGACACGAATACAGTGATTAGTGCTAATAAGAAGCACTGACACTGTACTAATGACACTGGGCAGGAAGGGGTTAACATCTGGGGCGACTGTGTGCTGTGTGTGTTTTATTAGGGAGTGTTTTGCTGTTCAGAGCAATACAAAGCAGCCTGTTCATGCTGACAAAGGAGAGATCTGTGTTGGTTACACACAGACCTCTTCCCTGTTCCTTGGCGATTGCCGGGTGCCAGGGGGGAATCTCTGGCCGGAACCCGGTGATCAACAGCTGTAGCCGCCAATGTCGGCGCAGGTAGGGTGGCACGCGCGCCCCCTACCCCGAGATGCAAAATCAAGTATATATACGTGATTTTGCACAGCCCTGCCGCCCTGTAGCAGTAGTTCTGCTACAGGGCGGTGGGGAAGCAGTTACAGCGCATCCAGAAATTATTCACTGCGCTTAACTTTTGCCACATTTTGTTATGTTACAGCCTCATTACAAAATGGATTAAATTCATTTTTTTCCTCAACATTCTACAAACAATACCTCATAAATGAAAATGTGAAAGAAGTTAATTTTGAAATCTTTGCAATTTATTAAAAAAAAAAAAGTAAGTATTCACAGCCTTTCCCACGACACTCAAAATTGAGCTCTGGTGCATCCTGTTCCCACTGATCATCCTTGAAATGTTTCCACAACTTTATTGTAGTCCACCTGTGGGACATTCAGTTGATTGGACATGATTAGGAAAGGCATAAACCTGTCTATATAAGGTCCCACAGTTAACAGTGCATGTCAGAGCACAAACTAAGCCATGAAATCCAAGGAATTGTCTGTAGACCTCCGAGACAGGATTGTATCAAGGCACAGAAAAATTTCTGCAGCATTGAAGGTCCCAATGAAGCACAGTGGCCTCCATCATATGTAAATGGAAGAAGTTTGGAACCACCGGGAATCTTCTTAGAGCGGGCAGCCTGGCCAAAATGAGCGATTGAGGGAGAAGGACCTTATCCAGGGAGCTAACCAAGCACCCGATGGTCACTCTGAAAGAGCTCCAGCATTTCTCTGTGGAGAGAGGAGAACCTTCCAGAAGAACAACCATCTCTGTAGCACTCCACCAATCACGCCTGTATGTAGAGTGGCCAGACGGAAGCCACTCCTCAGTAAAAGGCAAATGGCAGCCTGCCTGGAGTTTGCCAAAAGGCAACTGAGGGACTCTCAGACCATGAGAAACAAAACTTTCTGGTCTGATGAAACAAAAGATTAAACTCTTTGGCCTGAATGCCAAGCGTCACGTCTGGAGGAAACCAGGCACCGCTCACCACCTGGCCAATACCATCCCTACAGCGAAGCATGGTGGTGGCAGCATCATGCTGTGGGGATGTTTTTCAGCGGCAGGAACTGGTAGACTAGTCAGGATCGAAGGAAAGATGACTGCAGCAATGTACAGAGACATCCTTGATGAAAACCTGTTCCAGAGAGCTATGGACCTTAAACTGGTACGACGGTTCATCTTTCAACAGGACAACGACCCTAAGGACACAGCCCACATAACAAAGGAGTGGCTACGGACCAACTCTTTGATGTCCTGGATTGGCCCAGCCAGAGCCCAGTCTTGAACCCGATTGAACATCTCTGGAGAGATCTGAAAATGGCTGTACACCGAAGCTCCCCTTCCAACCTGATGGCGCTTGAGAGGTACTGCGAAGAAGAATGGGAGAAATTGCCCCAAAATAGGTGTGCCAAGCTTGTAGCATCATACGCAAAAAGTCTTGAGGCTGTAATTGCTGCTAAAGGTGCTTCAACAAAGTATTGAGCAAAGGCTGTGAATACTTATGTACATGTGTTTTTTTTTTTTAATTTTTCAATAAATTGCAAAGATTTCAAAACAAACTTCTTTCACATTGTCATTTTGGGGTATTGTTTGTATAATGTTGAGGAAAAAATTTATTTAATGCATTTTGGAATAAGGCTGTAACATGAAAAAAATGTGGCAAAAGTTAAGCGCTGTGAATACTTTCTGGATGCACTGAAAGTATTAGCATATCTAAAATAAATTGAATAAACACTATGGATAAAAGCGCACAGATGTGTCCCAAAGGAAAAAGTGAATAGTGTCAACTGTCATTAGTGGTAAAAACACATAGGTTTATGAAGAGTATTGACAGGAGCCAGGTGCTGTGTAGTTTTGTGGTCATATATAACACCTTATGTGGAGGTGTGCCTTTAATAAAAACATCACAGGATAATAGAGTAAACCACCAGCCTATGGCTTTAAGAAGCCAGGTTCCTAGATGGATGGCCTGTCCGCTCAAAGGGGAGCAGTGGAAGAAATGAATGCCTGTCAGTGCAGGGACCACGTGTACCCGATGTCCCGGGTGACATCACTGCGATGTGTAGGAGACAGAGGGGAGGAACCCACGCTGGAGCCGCAGCTTAGGAGCAGGAGGCCGGTTGTGGGACAACATGTTTCACGCGCATGCGCTATTTTAAGTCAGTGAACAGTCCGGCAAGCGGCCATTTTATAGAAGACCTGCAGGGCAAGGGGGCTGGCTTATCAACCAGTGGGAATGGTTTGGAGCAGATGGCTAGCCCCACACTTAACACAGAATCATAATGTAATTAAAAACGTGCATATACCCACAAAAAAAAGCATGAATGCTTGATTGGAACAAAGTGGCATGTGCAAGATAAAAAACAAAAAAACAAACACTCTACAATCAAGAGGAGGGGGGGAGGAGTAAGAAATTACTAAAAAGAAATGAATACTTCCTAATACTTCAATAGCTGAGGGAGTAAAAATAAAAAGACTTCAAAACCATTACTTTCAGCAACACAATACTGGGATAATAGGAAAAAAACCTTAATGATACGATTAATATCCCAGAAATAAAAGAATTATCATTATAATTATGCAAGTAATTGTAATAAATATAATAAAAAATTAATGATTAAGGAAGTTATTTTATCTGGATACCATTCAACACTAATTTATATAGACCAAGTGGAAAAAAGTTGAATTAAATGTATAAAATATTAAATAATAGTAATAAATTGGCATGTAAAGCAACCTTTCTTTTTACATTTGTAAATACCAACTCTACTATCAAAATAGGAGCACATGCTCCTCAAGTTACCTTCAGAAAAGCCCATACTCTCAAGAACATTTTAGCCCCCAGCAAACTCTCCACATCTTCTCAGAACAAACATGATATTTGCGCCTATTTTGATAGTAGAGTTGGTATTTACAAATATAACAAGAAAGGTTGCTTTACATGCCAATTTATTACTCATGGCAAATCAAATATCATTGATTCTGAAGGTACCACTTATGATATTCGTCATTTTATCACTTGTGCCACAGACCATGTGGTTTACGTACTAACATGTCCATGTAAATTGCTATATGTGGGCCGCACAATACGTCCTCTACGTAAACGTATTGGAGAACATAGAAGGCTCATAAAAGATGGATGTGAAAAAAACAGTGTTCCAAGGCATTTCCTATACCATCATAACAAGAATTTTAGCGTCTTAGAAGTACCTAAGGGAACCCTTACCGATAACGAGAGGTTAGCCCTCCTATGTAAAAGGGAAACCTTTTGGATTTACAAATTTGGTTCTATGGTACCGAATGGCCTTAATGAAGACTTAGAAGTACATAGCATCATCTAAGAGGTAACACAGAGGATACAGAGATCGTCTACAGTATATAACCCCCCCTCCAGTATTTATAAGATATATTGAGATTGTATTGTATATATACAGTTATATATATATACATACACAGTATATATATATATATATATATATATATATATATATATATATATATATATATATATACACACACACACACACAGTAGTATATATATATATATATTATGGCCCCCATCTAAAATCACTATCATTATTACATGATCATCATTATAATTTTTTAATATTTTATACATTTAATTCAACTTTTTCCATTTGGCCCATATACAGTAAATTAGAGTTGAATGGTATCTGGATAAAATAACTTCCTTAATTATTATATTTATTACAATTTTTATTATATTTATTACAATTACCCCCCTCTTGATCGTAGAGTGTTTGTTTTATCTTGTGGCTATATTCATGTTTTTAATTACATAATGATCCTGTGTTTTTAATTACATTCCGATCCTGTGTTATAATGTGTGGGACGAGCCATCTGCTCCAAACCATTCCTCCTGGTTGATAAGCCGCCCCCCTTGCCGTGCAGGTCTTCTATAAAATGGCCGCTTGCCGGACTGTTCACTGACTTGAAAAAGCGCATGCATGCAAAACATGTTGTCCTGGCAACCGGCCTCCTCCTCCTAAGCTGCGGCTCCAGTGTGGGTTCCTCGCTTCCGTCTCCTTCACATCGCGGTGACGTCACCCGGGATGACGAGTACACGTGGTCCCTGCACTGACAGGCGTTCATCTCTTCCACTGCTCCCCTTTGGGCCATCCATATAGGAACCTGGCTTCTCAAAGCCACAGGCTGGTGTTTTATTTTATTATCCTGTGATGTTGTTATTAAAAGGCACACCTCCACATAAGGTGTTTTATATGACCACAAAACTACACAGCACCTGGCTCCTGTCAATACATATCTAAAATAGTAGACCAGCAAAGTAGGTGCCATCAAGTGGCAGCATCTTGTGGGCATTTGGGAAACCCCAACAAGCACATTTCCTGAAATGCTCAACTTTTCTCCAACTTGAAGCATTAGCCCAGTCTTGCAAACATCCCATTATTATTATTATACAAGATTTATATAGCGCCAACAGTTTCTGCAGTGCTTTACAACATGAGGACACAGTACAGTTACAACACAGGATCCCACAATTAATACATGAGCTTCGGCACCTCATGTATCAGTATGAGCAAGCAGGGGAATAGCCAGAAATTACAAAAATGGGTGTAAGTAGAAACACCTACAAAAAATAAGAAAAAGCCCATAGCAACCATATTGTTACATAATTACATTTTCCCTACCATTAAACCTGTTTTAACTTTTCAATATTTTTTTTAGAGAATATATTAGACTTATTCAATAAAACAATAGCTACAGTACACTGCTTTGCTGGCCTGCTCTTATAGTAATAGATTTGGCAAAGCCAAGGGTATACATCAACAAATACCAAGCTAAGACAAATCTTCGTTGTCGGTGATTAACTTGCTACTATACTTTGATGAATCTTTTTATGTGCTATATACTGTATGTTGCACTTTACAATAGGCATACAGTTACTTTCAGATTTTGAATTGAGAAAAGATCTTGCATTCTGTTCTCAATAAATATTATAGTTTCTCTTTGTTACATAATTCAATTACCACTGACAGACATTACTACATCCATTCTAATAAAGGCAAATTCACTGTACGTTCATATCCTCTGATAAAATATTCTTTTTGGCTTTTAGGGTATGTAAATCTAGGATGGGAGACTTTAGGGGTCACATTTCAATTCAGCAAGTGGTAGTGTAGTGACTTACATTATGAAACATACCTTAAATATTCACATTACAACTGGAAACTTAGTTTTTATTTTCTTGAATAGAGCAGGAGGGGTTGCGGCCTCTGCTGTATTTTCTTGCTGTCCACGACTTACACTATATTGCCAAAAGTATTGGGAAACCCCTCCAAATCATTGGATTCAGGTGTTCCAATCACCTCCATGGCCACAGGTGTGGCACCTAGGCAAGCAGACTGCTTCTACAAACATTTGTCAAAGAATGGGTCGCTCTCAGGAGCTCAGTGAATTCAAGTGTGGTACCGTCATAGGTTGCCACCTGTGCAATAATCCATTTGTGAAATTTCCTTGCTACAAAATATTCCACGGTCAACTGTTAGTGGTATTAAAACAAAGTAAAAGCAACTGGGAACAGCAGTAACTCAGCCACAAAGTGGTAGGCCACATAAAATGATAGAACGGGGTCAGTGCATGATGAACGGCACAGTGCGCCAACTGTCTGCAGAGTCAATAGCTAAAGACCTCCAAACTTTGTGTGGCCTTCAGATTAGAGAACTTCATGGAATGGGTTTTCATGGCCGAGCAGCTGCATCCAAGCCTTACATAACCAAGTGCAATGCAAAGCGTTGAATGCAGTGATGTAAAGCACGCCACCACTGGACTCTGGAGCAGTGGAGACGTGTTCTCTGGAGTGACGAATCACGCTTCTCTGTCTGGCAATCTGATGGACTTGTCTGGGTTTGGCCGTTGCCAGAACAGTACTTGCCTGACTGCATTGTGCCAAGTGTAAAGTTTGGTAGAGGGGGGATTATGGTGTGGGGTGTTTTTCGGGGGTTGGGCTTGGCCCCATAGTTTCAGTGAAGGTAACTCTTAAGGAGTCATCATACCAAGGCATTTTTGACAAATTCATGCTACCAACTTTGTGGGAACAGTTTGGTGATGGCCCCTTCCTGTTCCAACATGAAAGTGTACCAGTGCACAAAGCAAGCTCCATAAAGACATGGATAAGCGCGTTTGGGGTGGAGTCCTGACTTCAACCCGATAGAACACAAGGCTTTCTCGTCCGACATCAGTGCCTAACCTCACAAATACGCTTCTGGAAGAATGGCCAAACATTCCCATAGGCACACTCCTAAACCTTGTAGACACCCTTCCCAGAAGAGTTGAAGCTGTTTTAGCTTTAAAGGGTGGGCCAACTCCATATTGAACCCTACGGACTAAGACTGGGATGCCATGAAAGTTCATGTGCGTGTACTTCTTGGACGGCCAACATACAACACCACTGAAATAAAATTGCTAGAGGGTTTAACCCTTTCCCACACTAGCTGATTTGTTTTTGAGGTTGCATCCTTTGGGAATGTTATCTTATTCTTTCAGTGCTACTGTTGGGACACCTCATTTACATATGCTTGTTCTAGGTCAGTGGCTCACTAGTGAAGAAAGAAATCAGCACAACTTCAATATCGATATCCTAGAAGTTCAATTTGAAAACCAATCTAGAAAATTTGATACATTAGAATAGAATTGTGAATTATTATGAATTGTGAATAGAATTGTGAGCATTTTGAAATAACTACTATTAATATTTGGCCTCCTCCCCTACTTTTTTCAAATTTTTCTTAGATGGGGAGAATTAAAATTACTCATTGCAGTATTTCTAACCTTTAATTTGGATTTTGACAACAGAAGCGTTTCTCTTTTTTGTCAATTAATTGCTATGCAAGGTTGACCGCATCAATTTCCTTCTGCAGGCTATACACAAATCGAATTCCGAAAACAGTCTCTTTTGAAAATTGTAACTAAGAATTTTTGTTTGAATTTCACACCATTAGTGGGCCACAGAATGCAGCCATCGAATTTGAGTAAATGGGCATATTGGAAATTTTTTGAAAAACAAACAAATTTCTAATTAATGATGAGAAAATCGTGCGAGAAATATAATCGAAAAAGAAATGAGCATAAGTCTTGACCTGGAAAGAAAAGAAGATTCCCAGACAACAAAAAAATATTTTCTTTAGCAATATGAGGTGAAGTTGAATGATTGGTTTGTCAAATTTCTAAATCAATGTTGGCACCATTAGATTACAAAATGCATGAAACTTTCTGAAGAATATTCGTTCAGAATTTGACCCATGTATGGCCTGCATAATGGTCTGCTTAAGACTGTAGTGCCTCAATTGGCTTATACTAAAGCTAGTCAAATATGTTTAGATTTTTTTGGTAGGACTGATTGAGAGAAATCACTTGATTCCCACATCCAGGCTAAACAACTTGGATGGAGAATTTTCCCCTGCGAGCTCTTATATTCAGAGAGCATCCAAGGCTGTTTGTATATCTTAACAGTGACTGCATTTGGTAGGGTGCGGTCACTATCTGGCCAACAAAGCTTGACTGACAAATAAAGGTAACAAGGTGTGACCAAAAGCGCCACCCATGGCTTGAATTTTGGCTGATTCAATTTATGCTGGTGACAGCAACGTGAAGGTTAAGGCAGGGCTTGAAAAATGTGCTTTGAATCAAGAAGCCAGCTAAAAATGTTAGGAGCCAGTTGGGGTGGCAGCGTGACAGGTGGAAGGCAGCGGGACAGGAGGGGGAAGAGTCTCCAGAGGAAGACAATGTCACAGGTGGGGGGACAGTGGGACAGGTGAGGGCAGAGCCACAAGAGGAGGGCAGCGAGACATGTGGGGTGCAGCAGGACAGGTGGGGGCAGCGGGACAGGTGGACGGTAGTGTCACACACACCTTGGGAAGCACCAGTCCTCCCAGCTCTCACCTGTCCAGCAGCGGCTCCTCCAGATGGTGTCAGTGGAGAGGATCTAGTGCTAGGGGGGGTAGTTGGCCATGTGTTCACCTGGTTGTTGTGGTAGATGGGGGGACTCGGTGACGTGCTGTAGGTGGGGTTGCCTGCTGTCACACAGGTGGCGAGACTTGGTGGCCAGTGGCCCCAGTGACTCCAGTCTACATGTGCTGTTCCTCTGGGGGGAGCCACATGTGTTTGTTGGCCATTGCTGTTGCATTGAAAGCAGCCTTGACAGGCTCTGGCATGCAGGTCTGTAGCCGGTCACCTTTTGAGCATGCATCAGTGGTGTGGATAGGGTGGTCGGTGCGGGGGGCTGCGTCCTCCGCTCCATGGGCTCTACGGGGAGGAATGGCTGTGTGGTGGGGGGGGCAGACCTGCAGTGTCCTCCGGGGGGGCTGAATTTCATAGGGCTGTGCGGGGAGTTCTTTGCCTGGAAGAGGTGTGCACTGGGGAGCTCCACCAGGACTCTGTGCAAGGGGAGGAATGGGGTGGGGGGGACTCTGGGGGTTCCGGGATACTGGGCTTGGCTCCACTCTGTGGGGCAGGAGAGAGGAGTCAGCCAAAAATTGAGGGGCGGGGGAGCGTGGGGGCAGTGTGGGCTGGCAGGGGCCCAGGCTTTATCGAGCCCTGGGTTAAGGGCTTCAAGAAAGCAGATTGAAGCTTTCTAAATGCATTGTAAATGCTTTCTGAATTCTAAACAAGAATGAAACAAGGCCCAAATAGCTCTGATGAGAGTCTATTCAATACTTCCAGGTATGGGTGAGCATGTGACAAAATAAACATTGTACATACCTTCCACTTGAGCAATTTCAGAGTCAGTCAACAGATTTCCCTGAGATGTAGCTCTAAACAAGCGTGCACGTGTTATACTGGGCTTCTGTACTGGGCTATGTGAAGGTGGTTGAGGAACTGTTTGTACAATATCACCATCCGTGCCTGAAGATAGAGGAAGCTTTGGTTTCTGGGAAATCAAATAAATAAAATTTTAGTAAATCCTTTATCATGCATAGACAAAATGTACCATTTTACTGTATATAAACTCAGGTAAACAAGATTACCAGCTCACGTGAAAATTTCAATCCAGTAATCAAAAAGGTCTGTCTAATTAACTAGGCTTTTTGCAAGTATTTTTTTCTGTAATTGAAACATTCATTAAGATTTGACCTCAAAGGATAAATTCACCTTTTAAATAAAAATAATGAATGCACATTTTTTTGCAGGTAAAAACATGTGCATTTATTATTTTTGTCTACAGGAGCCTGGAAAGCAGTAGATCGCTGATGCCATGCAGGTCTGCAGACCTGTCAGAATATCTGCTTCCTGTACAGGATGTACGAGCAAGCAGATATTCAGACAGGAAGCTTCAATCAATTACCGCGGTGCTCCACAGTGCTGTGGTAGTTCATTGAAAACTACATGACCACAGCTGCTAAGCCTGTCGGGACTTGCAGTTCATTCAGTCAGGGAAGTTATGTAGAAGGTGTATAGAAGCAGGAGGATGCAAATATAAGCCAACCAATAGTGTTTCTAGGCATTCTATTTGTGCATGCAGAACTATATCCCCTCCATAACTAAACCTAGCAGTTTGAAGGGTAGGAATTCCGTACTAAAATACCTAAACCCCATGCAAAATTGGAGTAGGTTGAGTGGCAATGATAGCCAACCCAGGATTTCTTGAGACTCAAAGTCTTACTTCCAAGGAGATGCGTTTCCTGGAGTATACAAATATGAGGAAAGTGGGCCTTAAAAAAGTGAAGAACCAAGGATCGTTTAATAGCAGAAATAAAACCACTCGTATTCCACTATAATGAGACCTAATCAGTAAGATAAATATATTTAACCATGAGGAGCAACTAATATCCATTGGAGGAGAAAATCAGACCTGGATTGACTATAGACCAGCAAAGTATTGTAGTAGGTGTACCCAGCACATTGAACCATAACGACATATACTCACACCAGGCTGTACCACGAAAGAAAGAAAAATGAACCATATCAGTAAAAACCAGTCACCAATAAAACAAAAATTCCCCCCGCCCACCCCCTTGAAACTGAGGAAGGCCTCCATACCAAACTCAACTGGCTCTCAAGCCACAGACAGGGGTCCGTGTGCAAAACAGGCGGGCACTTCAATAGTAGAGTAAAAAAAAAACTGAAGGAGTCCCTATATTCATTTCGGAGCATGTGGAGCAGGTCACCCGGTAAACAAGGGGTACATTACTTGAATGGTTGCAGTTAAACATTAACTATAATTCACAGAACGTACAACAAAATGAAAGAGCCTTGGAGGTATAAAAATAGTCTTAAAACAGAGGTGATGTCACCAAAGAGAAAAACTAGTAGTTCAGCCCAGAGGAGATAGCGTACCTCAGGGTGACATAGCGATCCAATGAGAGCCACAAAACACAGGATAAAAGGGAGAAAAAAATTATAATCAGCTGTTTAACGTCCAAGCAATAGGTAGAAGAACAAATGTTCAAAGAATCACTACATCAAAGGCCTCACAAGGTTCCAAAGGCAAAAAGAAAAGATACAAAAAGGACATGAAGGTGTTAGGTTACTTGCGGACTGTCTCAAGCCAGGAGACAGCATCCTCTGGAGGTGAAGAAATGGACTCGATCGCCATCTTGAACTGGCAGCTTGGGAAACAGCATACTGTATGTGAGGCCTTTGGTGCGAAGCTTGGCTCGAACATGGTCAAAGGATTTCCGCTGGTGTTTGTGTTTCCACAGAGTAGTCTGGAAACAGAGGGAGCTTGGCGTTTTCATACTTGAGGTCTCTTTGGTCGCGCCCCTCATGAAGCACCAGGTCCCGATCCTTGAAATGAAGAGGTTTTAAGAGAAAGATGGGAGGGGGCGCTCCTGGAGGGCCATGATTAGGAGGCATACTATTGGTTCTCTCCATAGAGAAATTGGGAGAAAATGTGGCCTGAAGGTATTAGTGATTTCAGAAGGGCTGCAGTGAAGGTTGCGGGATCAGACCCCTCCGTGCCCTCCAGGAGCCCAATGATGCATAAGTTCTTGTGGCGGTTTCGGTTTTCTGCATCCTCAGCCCTCGTCTCCAGATGCTTGACCTTAAATTTCAAGGTGTTGAGGTCAGCATTGTGATCCTGTTGCACATCTTCCACCAATGACACTCTGTACTTGACCTCAGTGATGTGTTCATGAAAACAATCAAGGTCTCTGCAGATGAGGACGATGTCCCCCTGTACACAGTCTATTTTAGAGGTTAGAGCAGTCTGGCACCCATTGATGGCTTGTAGCAAGGAGTCAAAGCGGGCTGAATCAGAGAAGGCAGGATCTGAGCACTCAGTCTGAGTCTCTATATCACAGCCGGTAGTGGTAGTAGGTCTATTCAAGGCCTTGACATGCATCGGAACGGACATGTGGCAAGGCAGGCCGGCACTTCTTCCCCTGGTCATCGCCCACAAGAACAGCAGCGAGTCAATTTGGCAAGAAATTAAGCAGCCTGCACCGATATATAATTCAGGATTGCAGCCGGATTGCAAATATTTTTAAGTATTATTTTATATCAAGCACTAATATTTCCAAAACTCTGGCAGTCTCAAAAATATGGATAACAGGTACTGTATATAGCTATACAATTAAAGTCTATGTAAACTCTAACAATTAACTTCTCTTATTTGTCTGCTAATATACCACTGAAAGCGATTTGTTTTGTTTACAGTGGGGAAAATAATTATTTGATCCCTGCAGATTTTGTAAGTTTGCCCACTGAAATGAAGGGTCATAGTATATTTTAAATTATAGAAACAGAATATCAATCAAATATCCAGAAAAAAAAACACATGATGCAAATGTTATAAACTGAGTTGCCGTTCAGCGAGTAAAATAAGTATTTGATCCCCTACTAACCAACAATAATTATGGCTCCCACAGACTGGCAATGTGCTCATTTGGTACACAGATTAGTCCTGTCAATTTCAGAAGGTGCTCCTAACGATAACTTGTTATGTGTATAAAAGACACCTGTCCACAGAATCTCTTTCTTGGGCACCACCATGGGCAAGACCAAAGAGCCATCAAAGGATATCAGGGACAAGATTGTAGACCTGCACAAGGCTGGAATGGGCTACAAGACCATCAGCAAGAAGCTTGGTGAGAAGGAGACAACTGTTGGAGCGATTATTCGCAAATGGAATAAATACGCAATAACAATCGCCCTTGGTCCTTGCAAAATTTCACCTCATGGAGTAAGGATGATCATGAATAAAGTAAGGGATTAGCCCAGAACTACATGGGAGGAGCTTGTAAATGACCAAAAGGCAGTTAGGAACACAATAATCAAACGAACCATTGGTAATGCAATACACCGCCATGGACTGAAATCCTGCAGTGCCCACAAGGTCCCCCTCCTCAAGAAGGCACATGTACAGGCCCCTCTGAAGTTTGCCAATGAACATCTAAATGATTCAGAGAAGGATTAGGAGAAAGTGCTGTGGTCAGATGAGACCAAAATTCCAAAATTGAGCTCTTTGGCATCAACTCAACTAGCCATGTTTGGAGGAAGAAAAATGCTGACTATGACCCTACACCATTTCTACAGTCAAGCACAGAGGTCCAAACATTATGCTTTGGGGCTCTCTCTGTGTGGCACTTGTGCAGGCTCACTCCTTAGTCCCGCTGCCGCGTCCATTGACACAGACAGCTGGACTCGGCCCCACCCCACTCCCTCATCACTGGAGTTGACTCACAGGAGCAGGAGCCAATGGCTCCCGCTGCTATCGATCTGCCTGGGGAGGAGGGACAAAGTCTGGAAAACTGCAGCTCTCATGCACTGAGCTGGATCATAATGGGGCTCAGAAAAGTATAAGGGGTGGGGGAGGGGGAGTATGTGACACAGAAGGTTTTTTACCTGAGGTAAAAAACCTTGAGATTTAGCTTAAAATCTAAAAGGGAGCGTCGATTAATATGTAGCACTACTCCTTTAGGAGTCGCTGAGTTTTGGGTCCCCCTATGGTCCTACACAGCCAAGCAACACGCATTTTCTTAAGACCTTGCACACTGGAGATTCTAAACAGTCCTTGAGTTTATTTTTTTGGTTTTATTAAGGGGTATTGAACTTGGATAGGGTTGAGGGGTCTATGGGATGCCCAAAAAACCATGAACATGAGGAAAAACTACTTAGCAACTACGGACAAGTCCAAAGACAAAAAGGTTTCTTCTTGGATGGTACTCCAGCCCTCCTGGAGTACCACCTCAGACCCCAGATGAATTATCCTCTTCACCCAGCTGCTTGAGGGAATCCCTGAGCAAGAGGACTTTAGCAGAGCAGTTCCAGATGAGGAGCTAGTTGGGTTGGCCACCTGACTACCCTCTCCCCTTATCTGGCCCAGGGGGTGTGGGATTACTCCCTCAGTCCTCTACTGCAAGCTTGTGGGTTGGTGGCTGCCTTCAGGCCTTACACTGTGCTGGCTCCTTCCCTGCTTCCCAGGGTGTCCTCTCTCAGGGGAAGGTTGAGGCTCAGAGATCCTCCCTTTCAGCTCCTGCCTGCAGGTGGGCTCATCTCTGGGGCTCCCTCCCAGGCTTCACGCTCCAGCCTTAACTTCATCTTCCACCCAACACTACTACCCTGCTGGTCAGGCTCTCCCATATTTAAGGGGTGTCGTGGCCCCATGCCAAGCCTCCTGCTTGGGGATTGGCCAAGATCCCCTAAGTATGCAGATCAGCCCCTCTTCACCCTACCCACTGCCTTCTCAAACTTCTCAAGTTTCTAGAGCAGGGGGAGGTATCAGGGAACTGATCTGCAGAGCCCTCAGCCTTGACCTAAAAATGACCTGGCTGCCTCTAACTAAAAACCTGTCTAGCTAACCCTAGCTAACTAGAGAGGCTCTACAAATACAAAAAGGTAATAACTGTGGGGGATGAGCTGATGGAGAAAATAAAGTACAGATATTAGGTGGGGACAAGAAAGGCTTGTCTAAAGAGATGGGTTTTTAGGGATCATCTAAATGTAGACAGAATAAGAGACAGTCGGACAGATTGGGGTAGGGAATTCTATAGGATGGGACAGACTCAAGAAAAGTCCTGGAGGCGAGCATGGGAGGAAGTGACAAGGGAGCTAGAGGTCTTGGAAGGAACAAAGAGAATGATT